ATTTACAATCTGCCAGATTTGTGTCGCCTGATGAAGCTGGGTGTAATTACTGGCGAAACGTCGTACCCAGATTGTAAATGTTGTGGCTTGGCTCTCCAACACACCGGTGTGCTGTACTAGTGACGAATTGCCACGTTCTGTTTACGTGACAACCCTTACTAGTTGGCTATGGTGGCGGGTTTTAACGACACATTTCTTATACATTTACGCGATCTAACCCATAAACACTCTTATGGATGATATTGTTTACGAAAGCCTGCCTGCGTGTTATTATGGATGATATTGGTCGTGAAAGCCTACGTGTTAAACTGAAGAACACTTGTTTAGAAGGAGAACTGAGGTTTGACGGAACCAGTCGTGGCGATGCATCGCACGACACGTAAAGTCGGAAAATTAAAACGTCACTTACCACTCGCTGTTAACCCCCACATCATCAGCCATGATCAGTCCACTGCTGGATGAAGGCCTGGCCAAGCCACCTATACATTAGCATTTGATTACCATCAGCGCAAATAATTGGGGATGAGGTGCACGGTTCATTGCAAGTAACGCGAGTGTAAGAATCAACTTTTAACGTTACAGCCTCGTAATCGTTACTTCTCTTTTCCTTCAGATTGGCACGGTTGGCTGCGTACATTGTGAAAGAAGTTCAACATGCGTGCACAGGTTCAAACACAGAACCCTCGTGTGCACCAGAGGTTTCATTTCTCAGTATGCAAATAACCCAGAATGCAGCTGATCCCATCAAACCTCAGAAGCTAAGCAACATTGAACCTGGATAGTACTTGGCTGGGTAACCACCAGGGACGGAGCCAGGATTTTGACTTTGGGGGGGCTGACTTCAGTATTCTGAGATATCCAGTGTTTATGTTTTCCCATGGGCGCCACAAATGTATAAAACAAATTTTATTGGATTTGAACGCGGAGTTTATTAATAGGTTCGGAGCCGCTGATGTGGCTAATAAGTTCGATAAGTTCGAAAGATTGCCGCTCAAGCAGCCTGCAGGGCAGCACAAGGTGGCAGCCAGCATTTTGCAGCAGCCGGATATCCGGTTACCTCGATTACCGACTTTCCCAAAATTTCAGGGGGGGCTAAGCCCCCCCCCAGCCCCCCCATGTGGCTTTCTCGCCTACTTCAGCAGTTGTTTCTTGCTGTGGCTGTCCCACCTGATGACGATTGCTTGTGTCGCGATCGAAACGTCATGATCTATTATGTTTCTACCTACGTGACTTTACCGAAAGAACCAAAGGGTCAGGTTCTAGTAGGTTAAGTTCACACTCTCTATGGGTTTTCACGACCTACATTATAATTTGTCATACGTGTCTTTTGGTGAAAGGTCTTTCCGCGTGTTCTTTCTCTCTCTCTCTGTGATGGTCGTGTCGATTGTTCTGTGGGTGCCGACACCCCTCCACCCCCTCCCCCCACATCGATATTTAGAATCGACACGCGTTTAGATTATTTGGCTGCTGCAAAAATTTGCCACGTGTAGTGATGATGATGATAATGTTATGAGCCACTGCGATGGGCTATCGAACACGTGCGTGTGGCCAGGTCGCCGCTGAACAACAGCTCATAGCTCGGCGTGCTTTACCTCGTGGGGAATGAACAAAAATAATTCCAGTTCAGGACCCTCCACCACACGACCAAGGCCAAACGAATCAAGTTGTCACGTCGTGGGCAAATGTGCCGATGTGCGTCGCCGGTGGCGTCGCTGTACGTTTCTCCTCCGCCTGCACCAAGCGGCACTGACAAATCTGGTGAAGTATGGTCAAATAACCCTCACCGCCTGCATGGCGTTGGGAGGCCCCCCATCCAGCGTAAGTGGATTTTGACAAGCGAGCTGAGCGCGGTCGTGAAACGCAGCCTTCGATTTCCGTATACGAGTCCGGATACGAGTACTCAACGAGATATATATTTTTAATGATGTAGCATTTAAACTGTGACCGCATCTCGAAGGGGTTAATGCATAGGGGGAACATGCCCATCAAGATATTTTGAAGAAAGATAATACATTTTTACAAATGTTTTTATTATTTATATACGACGTGAGTGTGTGGGTGTTGTTCAGTGGGGAGCGGTAGTGTAGCGGTTAGCGCGCTGGGCTACAAACCCGGCGAAATCAGTGACGATTATTTGAAGTGGTACTGTGGGCCTCCCCTAGGTCGACTCAGCCTAAAATGAGTACCTGGTTGCAGTGTAAAAACATCTGCACTGGGGAGACAAAGGCGGTCGTGCTGGACACCCACCCCCTCGTGTACCTTGCCGGCCTTCATAGGTGCTCGCCATAGCACTTGCCCCAACAGTCTGTTAAGACTATACGGGGATCTTTGTTTGTTGTGCAGTGGGGAGTGGTAGTGTCGTGGTTATTGCACTCCGCTACAAACCCGGTGACCCAGGTTCAATTCCCGCTGACGGCCAAAACCAGTGACGATTATCTGAACCGGTCCTGCGCCTCCCCTGGATCGACTCGACCTTGTGCAGTGCGTAAACATCGCCACTATAGGGAGAAAAAGGCGGCCCAGGTGTGGTGCCGGCCACCCTGATCCCCTTTTGCGCGCCGGACCTTAAATCGAGTGACTGGTGCGCTACGTGAAACATCAGCATCGGCGCTGGTGAGATGAAAGGTCAGCCCGGCCGTGCCCCCAAGAGCCTGCGCAGGCTACCCAGGGGATATCTTCGTCTTTAGCGCCTTCGCCCCCCGTCCCCCCAACCCCCTTCTTTTCGCACTAACAGGCAGCATAGTTGGCGAACGCACATCATCAAGGCTGGCGTGTCGTATCTGTTTGTTAGAAGATCTCCCGAAAAATGCACCCCAATCTTATCCAGACCCTGGACGAAGCTTAAGCGGTCGGGGTTGAGCCTCGATAGTCCCTGGATGGGCGAACACCGGAGCGCAGGCGGGTCTGTTGAAAGCCTTTGCGGGGCTTGCGCGGCGCTGTTCTGCTCCCACACACGTGCGTTCCCCACCCACCTTCACCGAGGAGCCTAGCGACGTGGTGAAGTACGGTCGAGCAGCCCCCAAAAGAGCCTCGTGGCGTGGGGTGAGGCCTTCAGTCGAGCGGTGGATTCACCATTGCTGATGATTCTTGTATTGCCCGTGGCCCCAACTAAGGCCCCTCTTTTATCGCCCATGTGCACGGACAGGGGACGGGGTGTTGGGGGGTGGGTGGGGGGGGGGGGGTTTGGTTATCATGGAGATGGCCGGGTCCACGCTTCCCTCCAACACGGGGAGGCGAGCGACCTACGCCTTATTCGACGGTTGAGCTCCCTCCTGGACGAGGAAGCGGTGGTGCAGCGGTTAAAATAAAAAAGCTATTTTTATAGTATCAGGTTAGGTCCCCACTGAGCTACATAGCTCTTTTTCAGAAGCGAGCTGGCCACGAACGATAGCTCGACGAAGTGGCTTACGATATGGAAATGTGCAGCAGCCAAACACTCTGGAACGCGTGTTTCTAAATTTCTAAATGTACAGGCATCGGGGTCGGAATCGAACCACGACCTCCTGTGTACCGGGCTTGGGAGTTAACATCTTGCCACCCGGCAGAGGTACCCGAGTTCGATTCTCCACTCGCGACCAATGACAGTGCCAAATGTTTGAACCGGCCGGTGCTGGGCCCTCCTCTAGGTTGACTCGGGCTTAATTGAGTACCTGCCACGGTGTGTGCGTGTAATAAACATCAGCACAGGCGTTGTCTTTTGCTTGACTCCGACTCGCTCGTGCGCCGTGCCGACCTTAATAGGTGCTCGCGAACAGCGCAAGACCCATAACAACCTGTCGAGGCTGTGCGGGGGGGGGGGGGGGGAGGATGGACCTTCAACTTTCAGCGTTACTGAACTGTTAGTTGGGCTCCTGTCGGGGGGGGGACGACTCGGGGAACTGGTACAGAGGGAGAGGGATCTGCGGCTGAGGAATTTGAAGCATGTGAAAGTGATTGTGGATCGGTACACGTGCGTGCGTGTGCAGGCATGGTCGTGTGGGTGTGTGCATGCGCAAGAGGGGCGTGCGCGCGTTCACTAGGCAATTGCGTGTGGGTGAGTGCTTGCTTGCTTGCTTACGGTGGGGAGCGGTGGTGCAGCGGTTAGCGCTTTGCTACGAACCGAGCGACCCCAAGTTCGAGTCCCGCTCACGGCTCGCAATCGGTGATGAATATCTGAAGCAGTCCTGGGCCTCCTCGAGGTCGACTCGGCCTTAAATGAGTACCTGGTGCGGTGTGTAAATATCAGCATTGGGTAGACAAAGGCGGCCGGATGTGGTGCTGACCACCTACCCCCTTTGTGTGCCGTGCTAGGCCTTGCCCCAACAGTCTACCGAAGCCTACGTGGGGGAAAATCTTTGTCTTTGTAACGGTGGTGAAATCGTTCTCACACCCTCGTGCGCGACTACAGTCCACACGTCCCAGGTGAAATCCCTGCTGCCTTCACAACGTCTGTGGCGGGCGGTGCCCCAGCGTGCCACGATCCTTGCCCGAGGCCGGGGGGGGGCGATCGGGGCGGCGGCAACTCGCGGCTTCGGAGCCGCGTACGGCTCTTGAAGGGAACTGCCACTTGGTGACGTTTATTTGTTTGGGACCACTGTCTCGAATTGGGCCGAGTTCGAAAACGAAAAACAAAGAAGAATGTCTCCTTGTTGTTTTTTTTGGTTGCCCGACCCCCCCCCCCCCCCCCACCTTCACCGGGTCCGCTCGGCCATAATTGTCTGCCCTGCCGTCGTGCGTAAACATCGGCACTCGAGGGGAAGCGAAGACGGCGGCTGGGCACGGCGTTCGCCACACCCGCAGCCTTGGAGGACCGTGCCAGATTCAATAGATGCTCCCCCAAACCGCACATTTTCCGCGACGGTCTTACTTACAGCTGTACGGGGGTGGGGGAGATGTTTGTGTATGTGTGTGTGTGTGTCTGTATTTGTCTGACTCTTCATTGTACACCGCTGCGGCGGCGCCACGGATCGAAACTTGCGCCGCGATCGTTCGCCTGACCGTGCCGCTGGCATCGCCCGCAGACTCCCTGCGGCTGCCCGCCGTCAAGATGCGCTGGCGGGAGAAGCTGCAGACGCAGCGGGTGAAGAGGGCACTGTCCTTCCGCTGGTCGCGAGCTTTCTCCGGCGACGCGCTGCCCGTCTCTCCCACGCACAAGGTACGTCTTCCCCCCCCCCCGACCACCGCTTTCCTGAAAAGCTAATCGAACTGCGGTGGTGGCTGTGCACTACGCACGTGGCTTGCCTGCACCCCAGCGCTGTGTGGAGGCAGCGGCGAATGTTGGTGGATAAGGGCGCCAACAGTGGCAAGATGTTAACTCCCTCGCCTGGTATGCAGAAGGTTGTTGGTTCGATCACGACCCTGACGCCTGCTGTATATTTGGAGTTTGCATGTTGTGTCTCTCTCCCCATGGTCGCGTCGATTATTCTCCGGGTCCACCGGTTTTTCCTTGCACGTTTATGAGCACGCGTTTAGAGCGTTTGGCCACTGCAAATTATTTCCACGCTATGTGCCACTTCGTTGAGCTATCATTTGCGGCCAGGTCGCTTCTGAAAAAGAGCTACGTAGCTCAGTGGGCCTTACCTGGTAAAATAAATAAAAATGTTTAATTTTAGTTTATTGCCGCATGCAAATGCCATGAATCTCCCTTCCCGTGGGCGTGGAGGAGCTTCCCAAGGCCTTGCTCGCCACGAGAAGGCGGTGCAGCAACAATGTGGAAGTCCACCTGCTCCGTCTGTATGGGATATCGCGTTGTCCCCTCTTGCGCATTGGTAATCTCCCACACGCAGACACTCGATAAATTCGTTGATAGCACCTGAATATGCAGAGGACGGCAGAGCTTGGGTACTTGTTGGCACCACCCCAGAGTCATTCCCTTTCCCTCTCTTTTGAGGGTGAGCGAATGCGGTGCGTTTAAAAGTAAACATTACGAAAAAATAACTCGTGACAAAACTCAACACGCCGTAGGGCCTTAAAAGAAAAATGTACAATGGATGACGTTTCGGGCAATGGCCCTCCTTCATAGCACGTAAACGTAGCCTACATGGTTACCGCCCTGATAAATTTTTCCTCATTGTTGCCACGCACGGTGCTGTTGTTGATGAATGCGTTTGGCTTCTTTTGTTACCTGCGGTCGTGCACCCACGGCCAACACAGCGTCACCAAATTACGGGAAGCTGCCGTCCCCCCCACCCCCCCTCGCCCGGTGAGATCTAGTGGCATGCATCCATCCCGCCCAAACGGCGCGCGCTTATTCCTCGTACGACTTCGAAACAAAGAACGTCGAAATATCTTTGCCGGTTTTGGGGCTTATCCCTAGGTCCACTCAGCCTCAGCCTCCGGTTATCGCGGTTGGCTGCGTACGGTGCGAAATAAGTTCAACATACGTACATCAGCAATCGTGGGGTGGAGGAGGGGGAGACACGTGCAGTCTAAGCCGTGCAAGGGGCCCGCCGCTGCCACCTCATGCACCAACGCCGACCCTTAGCGGAAACCTGCCCCCAACGGCCCGCGAGGGCCTCATGGAGTCAGGGTTGGGGAGGGGGGGAATCTTTGTTCCCCCGTTTTGTCCGTTCTCCTCGAGCAGGGGGAGGCCGGCCCGTCGGAGGGCCTGGCGTCCGTGGAGCGGGCCCTCACCTACTACCGCGCCATCCTCGACAAGGGCGTCCTGGAGCTGCTGCCGGGCACGGCAAGCCGAGTACTCGAGGCCGTCTGGAGCCTCCTCTCCGGCCTGCCACCCCAGCCCCTCAGGTTGGGGAGTGCTCCCCCCCCCCCCCGTACCCCCTCCCCACTTCACTGGTCCCCGGCATACAAACCCCTGAAGCGGCGATGACAGCCGTGGGCTCGTCTCCTCTGTCAGTCGCTGGTCACTGGGGAGTGAAATTTCCCGCCTTCGATTCCCGACCTCGGGCGTCTCTCTCTGTCTGGAGTCTGTGTGTGTGCGTTTCCTCTGCTTTGGCTTGTGGGCCACCGTGCCGGCCTTCACGGGTGCTCGCTAACAACACTTGCCCCAGCAGTCTGTTAAGACTACACTGAGATCTTTGTTTGTTGTGCAGCCGGGAGCGGTAGTGTCGTGGTTATTGCACTCCGCTACAAACGCGGCGACCCGGGTTCAATTCCCGCTCACGGCCAACACCAGCGACAATTATCTGAACCGGTCTCGGTCCTCCCCTAGGTCGACTCGGCCTCAAAATCACGACCTGGCGCGGTGTATAAACATTGCCACTGGGGATACAAAGGCGGCCGGGCATGTGGTGCTTGCCACCCACCCCCTCGTGTGCCGCGCCGGGCCTTCATAGGCGCTACTCGCTAACGGCACTTGCCCCGACAGTCGTTTACAAGCTACACGGGGTGGATGTTTGTGTGTGTGTGTGTGTGGTGTGTGTGCAGCCCGGAGGTGGCGTGGCGCGAACGGCGAGTGTACCGCTCGCTCACGGACCTGGCACGCTGCTCAGACCGCTTGCTGGTGGGGGGCCGCCCCCCCGAACACTCGGCCGCTCTCGCCGTCACGCAGCGCGTGACCGACAGCCTGCGGGTATGCTGGCCCCCACCCCATGCCCCCCAGCGACCCCGGAGCACCCGGAGAAAATCTGCGCACGCGCTTCTGCGGCCGTCTGGAACGTTCCTCCTTCCGATATTAGGAAGCCAACTGGTGCTCTGCGCTTTAAAGTAATCTAGATTGAAAACTAAATTCTTTAGGACCGATTTTTGTGTTAAGCTTGCTATCCTTCCCACCCGCACCAACGATTAGCACGGTTGGCAGTGTACGGTGCGAAAGAAGTTGAACATACGTACGTACATGCACCTTTAGTCCTCGATTAAATGTTGAATGCTTTCAAGTTTTTAACACGGCGCCGCTGCGTGGATTATTCGCTCGCTCGCGAAAGGAGAGAGAGAGAGAGAGAGAGAGGACGACTCAAAGTGGCACGTGGAGGGGAACCGCAGACGAGCGGGGAAGGCAGCCATGCGATGAGCAGGCACCAACAATTTCTTAAGATTTCCTAATGCGGCCTGCTGAGCGCGCGTTGTTCCGTTGCCGGGCCCGACTGCAGGAGCTGCTCCGAGTGATGCAGAAGCAGGAGGAGAACGCCCCCCCTGCAGACGATGTGGACGGGCGCTCGCTGACAGCGCACGGGTATTGACGCTCGCTCGGTTTGCACGAGTCTCTCTGTCTGTCTGTCTCTCGTGTGTCCGACTGTTCTTCTTTCAACCGGCCTGTCTCTCGGCGCGACCGTCCTTCGCTCTGCCCGTCTGTCTTTGTGTCTGACTGCGTTTGTCTGACTGCCTGCATCTCTCTTCGTCTCACAGTCCTCCTGTCTGTCCTTCTCTTCGTCCTCTGCTCGGCCATGCCGCCTCCCTACCTGCGTGTGTATTTGTCTATCTGTCTGTCTCTCAAGCCTATGTGTCTGCTTGTCTTTCTTTCTGCCTGTCTCTCTCTCTGCCTGTATCTCTCTGCCTGTATCTCCGTCTGCCAGTCTCTATGCCCGTATGGCTGTCTGCTCCTCTGTCTCCCTGTCTGACCTGTCGCCTGTCCATCTCCATGGTGGAACATCCTTCCGGGCGGTGCATTCCCTCCCTTGGGTTCTCCCCCCTAACTCTCCGCGCGATTCCATGAATCGTCACGATTCCGGCCCGTTGATTCAATTCAAGACTCGAGCTCTTGTCTACGTCGTCGCCTCGTCGCCCTGCAACCACGCACCTCGCGCCGCGATGAGTACTCCCCTCGTCCGTTCTCACGCCCCCCACCCCCCCTCCCCCCATCGCTCGTGTCCGCGGCGACCCCTCTGCGCGCAGGCCGGAGGCCGCCGAGCCGACGTTGGACCGCTCCGACACGCTCGCCACGCAGCACAGCCTCTCCCTGGGGGTGCTGCTGGAGACGGACGTCGGACCGGGCCCCCCACCCAAACCTCCCAGGCCGCGGCCTCCCGATTTCCTCTCCGCAACCGCCCTCACGGTGCCCAGGTGAGCGCCCCCCCCCACCCCCAACCGTGCCCCGTCCGTTCCTTCATTTGATCATTGCGCGGGTCTCTTTTTGCCCACATTTGTGCCTAACTGAAGATTTTAAAAAGCGGTAATGGAAACGTCGATTTTTTTTCTTTTTTTGCATGGCCGGGGGGGGGGAAGTGCAACGGCCGAGGAATGAGTGACCACAACAGAGGGCACGCCGGGGTCACAGAAAGGGCTTTAGGGGAGGGTAAGGAAAGGAGTGGAAAGGCGAAGGGAGCTGAGAGGAAGGGAAGGTGATCGACGTTCACGCGGGGGGAGGGGATGGTTGTTGGGTTTGTACATATGGTGAACTTCTTTCGCACCGTGCATAGCCAACCATGCTAATCGGAGGTGTGCGTGGGAGCTAATCGGAGGTGTGCGGGGGAGCTAATCGGAGGTGCGCGGGGGAGCTAATCGGAGGTGTGCGTGGGAGCTAATCGGAGGTGTGCGGGGGAGCTAATCGGAGGTGTGCGTGGGAGCTAATCGGAGGTGCGCGGGGGGAGCTAATCGGAGGTGCGCGGGGGAGCTAATCGGAGGTGCGCTGGGGAGCTAATCGGAGGTGTGCGTGGGAGCTAATCGGAGGTGCGCGGGGGAGCTAATCGGAGGTGCGCGGGGGAGCTAATCGGAGGTGCGCGGGGGAGCTAATCGGAGGTGTGCGTGGGAGCTAATCGGAGGTGTGCGGGGGAGCTAATCGGAGGTGTGCGTGGGAGCTAATCGGAGGTGTGCGGGGGAGCTAATCGGAGGTGTGCGGGGGAGCTAATCGGAGGTGCGCTGGGGAGCTAATCGGAGGTGTGCGTGGGAGCTAATCGGAGGTGTGCGGGGGAGCTAATCGGAGGTGTGCGGGGGAGCTAATCGGAGGTGTGCGTGGGAGCTTATCGGAGGTGTGCGTGGGAGCTAATGGGAGGTGTGCCCTGTGTGTGTGTGTGCGCGTGCAGCGTGAGCCTGTTCGCGAGGCGCGTCGCGGGCCACACCGCCCTGGTGCCTGTGGCCACCGTGCTGCCCATGTGCCGCCCCGTCGGGGGCAGCCTTCCCCGCGACGGTGGCGCCGTCAGCTGTTCGGTGAGTCTGGCAGGAACAACTACAAAAAATCCGTCGCCGAATTAATAACGCTGGACTGAGGTGGCCGGGGGATGGTCAAAGAGGGTTGAGCCAGCGACCGCTGAGATCTGGGCTCGGATCCAGTTGCCCGCCTGGACGGCCCTTGCCCCTGTGATCTCTTGAGGATATATGGGGGGGATCTATATGTGTGTGTGTGTGTATGTTATCTGTGTATGTCGTCGTTGTTTTTACATACGTGGGGAGGGGTCGTGCGATGGTTATCGCTCCGCGTTACGCATGCCCACCCACTTCGATTTGGATTTTCCGCTCAAGGCCAACATCCACTGGCGGATATCCAAACCGACTCTGCCTCGAGTGAGTACCTTGTGCGGTGTCCGGGCGTTGGCACGCACGGCAGTGGCGGCAGTGACGGGTGGAGGGGAACGCGTAGAGGCACGAGAGCAAAACACAACAACAGATAATTTGTAATCACGTTTTTTTTTTTTGGATTAGATCGTGTGAATACAAACGTGTTGTTCAATCCGCCACCACCCGACCCAGCCAATTAGCAAGGTTTGTCACGTAAACAAAACAAAACGTGCCCATCGGTTACGAGTTCACCACACCGGTTTGTTGGAGAGTTAAACCCACGACATTTACAATTTGAGTAAATGTTATGGATTCACACGAAAGCCCACGACAGACAATTGGCGCGAACAGGATGAACAAAATCGTTCTGCAACGCACGATGCGTGGCGCACGTGCGCACGGTTGCTCCTTGCCCCTTGTGCCCGTTTGGCACCGTGTGTTTGTGCGTGCGTGCGCCGCTCGCGCGACGACCGCGCAGCAGGAGGCTCCGTGCTCCACGCGGTGCTGCACCCTGCCGGCGCTGCTCAGCAAGTCGCCCCTCGTCCCTCCTCCTCCGGCGCCGGCGTCGGCGCCGGCGGCCGCGGCGGCGACGACGCCGGCATTGGCGACGGCGCCCCTGGAGACGCGCGGCTTGTGGAGTCGCTCCGAGGAGCTGCTGGTGTCGGGCGCCGACGAGCCAAGGAGCGCCGCCGGCGTGCTGGCTTTGCACACCAGCATCGAGCTGCTCGGTGCGTTCCCACGCGCGCGCTGTGGTGGGGTCGGGTCGGGGGGTGCTCAGGAGTTCGGTGTGGTGGGGGGGGGTGGGGGAGTGGCAAAGTCTGGTGGCAGGAAAGTCAAGTAGGCGTTGAGAGGCATTGGGCCAGCACTGCTGCCATCCTGGGTTAAAGCTCGAGGGACTGGGTGTCTGTCTTTCTCTCAAGGGGCTCATAATGTCCATATCGGAGACTTCTGAGCCAGAACCTATGATCTCGGGTGTGTGTGTGTGTGTGGATGTGCGTCTCTGAACGAGTTCATGATGGCTGTGTTTGAGTTTCCTGAGCCAGCTCCACAAAAATCTGGGTTTCATACCCTGAGGCTTGATGATTTTATCTCATGGGGTTCATAATGGCTGTGCCGAAGACACTAAAGCAGCACACTGGCAAGATATTGGCTTTAGGGCCCTGGGTTCTTGGTGTCGCTCTCAGGAGGTTAACTTAGCCAGCACCACGTGAACTGCACTAAATATCCTGAAAAAAATTGCTTTTCACAATTGGTTCTTAACTGGATTCAATTGAATGTCATCTATCGAGTTGATCAGGGTGAATTGGGGAAGTTGGCGGTCCAGAACCAGGTTAGATTTTCCCTTTCCACCGAGCCGTGGCTGATAATTAAACTCGGGTTGCAGGTGTTTGTAGCACGGTGAGCAAACCATTGCTCCAACTCTTTGAGCAATCCAACATTGGGTGGGGAAATATTCATCCAGCAGTGGATATCTGGGTTTGTCTGACAAGTGTGTGTGTGTTCTCGCGTAGCGTCGCGGCTAGCGTACGGCGCTATGAACCTGGTGACCCCGGTTCGATTCCTGCCCTCGACATCGGTGGCAAATATCTGAACCAGTCCTGGGCCTCCCCCGCGGTCGATTCGGCCTCAAATTAGTACTTAGTGCGGTGTGTGTTAAACATTAGCACTGGGGTGTGGGGATGGCCACCCACTGCCTCGTGTGCCGATGCAGGCCTTCGTAAGGTGCTGCTACTCGCCAACAGCACTTGCCCCAACAGTCTGTTAAGGCTACACGGTGGGTCTTTATCTTTTGTGTGCTCGTGTGATAGACCTGGAGAGCGATGGGTGCTCCATTTCGGAGTTCCTCCCGCCGTGCGACGGGTGCTGCACCCTGCCTGCCTGGCACAGACATCATCAGCAAGAGCTAGAGGAGGAGGTAATTGTGCGAATGTTGTTTTTCCTCCTCGGTCCGCCTTCGTCCGTTTTTAACAATCGTTTCACATCGTGGCCCTCGGAGCTGACGGTGACAAGAATGCAATTGGAAAAAAATGTTAGACGAACCTCCACACTCCGATTTGGCACGGTTGGCTACGTACTGTGCGAAAGAAGTTCTACGTACAGCACAGGTAGACCGACGACAACGATCGTGTGAACAACCTTCACCGGAATGAACCGGAGGCTTACCGCGAGTGACGATGAGCGGTGTGTGACTCGTAACAGTGATCTGGGTAAAAAAAAAATATGAACAAATAATCCATGGCCAAAAGATGTTCCCCACACATCAATTTATCTCTGATCACCACCTTCAAATGCACCAATGCTACACAGAATCAGCATCTTTGTTTATATTGGAAGAGGAATCCGATGAGCTAATGAAGCTCTTTTTCCCGGATGTCCAGTAGGGGCAAGTGGTCATAAAAGTTACAGTAGCCAACAATGCACAAAAACCAACGATAGGAGTGCAAAATAGAGAAAAAGGTAAGCAAATCGCTCTATAAAGTAATTGTACAAGTGTGATTTATCAAGATTTGGCAAGGCAGCATAAACAACGACTAAGAGTCCCAGAGCACACCAAGATAACACCACACAGTAGTCACTCAGTCCGATGGCCGCATGAACAATGAGCAAAACAATGCCACCGTGAATGTAACCTCCAAAGTCACGCTGCTAATTTTTCATTGCCATCATTGCCATCATTTTTCATTGTTCGTCGTGCATTTGTCTCACTCCGAATTTGTTGTTTTCTCGGCTGTATCGGGTGTTAAGGTGCTGCAAAGTTGTATTTTAATTTGCCCCCTTGAATGTATTTCAATTCCCTGTTAAGTTACGTTTGAACTGGTGTTTCTAGATTTGTTTTTTTAATGTGCCACTGCTGTTGTGATGGGTTTTCCTTTTCAGATTGCATAACTGTGACGTTTAACATTTTCTTCTTTGCATCCTCCTCTTACCCCTCCCGGTCCCGCCCGTGAGGCTTACCCTTGACAAAAGAGCTTTTTAGCTCAACCGCTCGGCATGTGGCCACATGTACGTACAGTAGTCCCTCGCTTCACATTTTTAAATCCGTTCCACGAACACTACCGAAATAACTGTTAATCGAATTCGCGTATAAGTTTAAAAATAAGTCCACAAGAGAGCTGTTTCCTCTGCCGAAACAGAAAACGTTATTACGTGAAAAAAGGCAGTCGAGGTCTAAACGGTTATACATGGGCATCACTGATTGGCTGAGGGCATGGCTCAGCCCCACTTACGAGCGCTCGGATTGGCCAAAATTGGCGACCGCGTGCATAACGTAAACGTACCGTTAATCAAAATGTTAACCTTCGTCGAAGCCATGGGGTGGTCCTTTGGGAGGCGAAAAGTTAACCGAAAAACCTTCAACCGATGTTACTGTTCACCGAAGGACTACTGTATGTTGAGCTTTTGCACCCTACATAGCCAACCGTGCCAATAGGAGGGTGCACATCTGCGGCACTAAAGCCATGCTGCCTGCTGTGCACGTGTTTTTTTTATCCTCTGTTGTGTTTATTAGTTACATGAGAGCAACAGGGAAGTTCACTTTTAAGCCCCACTCCTTCCTCTTTGTGCTCTGCCTCTTTCTGTTTAGGCCATGCCTCTTCTTCTGAACACAGAGTTGAGCCAGTTTGAATAGTGATGGGCAGATGTGGTATTTCACCAAATGACCTCTGATGATGATGCTGCTGCTGGTGATGATTTCCCGTCCGCCCGTGACGTCGTCCCCTTGCAGCAGGGTCCGCTCCTTCTCTCCGAGCCGGTGTACCCTCCCTACCCTCGCCGCCGCCACCGCCACGACCACCGCGACGACCTCGGCGCCACTGCCACCCTTCCCATGCACCGCGGCCGCTTGGCTCGGCCGCCCGTGTCGCCGCCGCCGCCGCCCCGTCACGAGAGACGGAGCAAAGAGGGCGACCGTCCGCCGCCGGCAGGGACGCAGTGCGGCGGCCGCAGCGACGACGACGACGGCGAACGCGGCGGCGGCGGCCCGCCGCCGCCGCGGCTGCCGCAGAAGAAGAGGCGAGCGTCGGACACGGGGCGCGCGTCGCTTCCGTCGGCGCTGCTGCTCGCTCCGCCGGGACTAGCCGCCGCGGCGGCACCGCCGCCGCCCTTCTTCTCCTCCTCCTCCGTCCTCCTCGCCGCGTGTCGCGAGGAGGAGGCGGAGGATCCGCCGTCGTCCTCGCCGCCGGCGTCCGCGTCGGAGGCCGCGCTCACGCCGGGCATCTTCACGCCGCTGGGGCAGCTGGCGCCGCTGCCGCCGTGGGAGCTGCAGCAGCGGCAGCAGCAGGAGCTGTTCCCGCACGAGCTCTCGGTGGAGCCGGCGCAGCAGCCGCCGCCGCTGCCGCAGAAGAAGAGCAAGAGTGAGCCGGGGGGGTCAGGGGTGCGGGGGGAAGAGTGTGCAACCACACCGGATAAAGTAACCTACCGGATAAAGTAACCTACCGCATGCAACAAGTAAACTTCACGTCGATACGAATCCCGTAGAGCGGTGGTTACCGCGTGTCCGTCCGTGGGGGTGACAACCCAAACGTCCGTCCCGTCTCTGGCCACGACGGTTTCTGGATGGTTGACTTGACTGGAAAGTGTCAAAGAAAGCATGCCTCTGTCGCCTATGAGCAAGTGCTCATCAGCAGCGGGGAGACGAAGGCGGCCAGGCGAGGTGTTGGCCACCCGCTACCTCGGTTGCCGTGTGCCGGCCTTCATAGGTGTATGTACGTTGAACTTCTTTCGCACCCTACGTAGCCAACCGTGCTCATCGTAGGCGCTGCTCGCTCTAACAGCACTCGCCCCAACGGTCCGCTTAAAGGCTACACCGGGGGTTCGTTGTCTTTGTGTGACCCTGCCGTGCGCTCGCAGTCCAGACCTACATGCAGCTGCTGTCCGACTACGCACTGCCCGTATCGAGCTCTGCCCAGCTACCTCCGACACCGTTCGCGCCGTTCAGCCCCGCGTCTCCGCTGCCCTCGCCGCTCTCCTCCCCCTCGGCCTCGCCGCTCTTCGCCTGCTCGGCCTTGCCGCCGGCCCTGCCGCCGAAGCGCCGGCAAACCGTGAGTGACGACGAGGTGCGGCTACCGGAGCGCGGTCGGTCCGCACGGTTGCGGCGGGCGCGAGAGTGTCCGCGTCTTGGCGGTTCGCGCCACCGCAACGCGGCTGCCTCCAATCCGGCGCTTCGGGAGGTGGCGTGGGGGAGGGTTGGTGGATCAATTGCACAAGATGTTGCGAAACTCCCCTTTCCACGCGGGCGTCGAGGAGGAGGCTGTATACCCCTGGGTTGGGCAGGAGTAGGGGCGGTGCAGCGGAGTGTGGACGAATCCTCCATCTGCAGTCACACAGCCTGTGTGACTACACGGGGATCTTGTGTGTGTGTGTGTGTCTGTGCGTGACGCAGATGGTGATTGTGACAGAGGTCTGTCCACCGGTCGTTCCAAGCGAGCGGTTCGTTGCGTCCGGAGGTCGACCCTTCGGCGACCCCGATAGTCCCGGGTGAGTTCACCTGCTCTACCCGCCCACCCACCCCGTCCTCCCACTCATGGGGAGAAAGACGAGATGGATAAGCAGTCAACTGTCATGATGACGAGGATGATGGTCGATGTGTAGGCCTTTAACGATGCATCACTTTATCGTTTAATGTCGATTGATGCGCCCACGCATTCAATCATGTGCAACGAGGACTAAGACGACGACGACGATGATGTTTCTGTTCGTGACGATGATTACGACAGCGGTGACAATGGGGATGACGTTTTTGCTCGTGACGACAATGATGGTGATGATGACGATGGCCATGTTAACGACGACGACGACGATGATGGCAGTGTTGACGTTGATAACAATGATGACGACAACGATGACGATGTGGAATTGTGCCGCGATAGGACTCAGGCCGCCAACGACGAGGTGTTTTCGCTGGAGCGTGAGGAGTTGACGGGAGAATCTCGAGCGCTCTCCGTCACCGATTTCACCGAGCTACACGCCGGGCTCGTCTTCAAGAAGGAGGTGAGGGAGGTCACCGGGTCGCGCAGAGGTCAGGGCGCTGAGATCCTGGGGTCGCGTCCAGGTTTCGGCAGTCCGTGATTAAACCGGTTTCTCAAGCGTAGCGAGTTTATGGTTTCAGCCATGTCACCACTGTGACTCGCAATAAACACCGATACCCTCGCGTAGACAACCCATTGGCTCACATAGACACCCGCATACTCGCACATAGAGACCCATAGGCTCGCATAGAGACCCACACACTCGCACAGATGCACAGACATGCATAGAGACCTGCACACTGACACAGAGACCAATTAATGATGAGTTTTGAATTGGGAGGAAAGCCGTACCACCCGGAGAAAACCCCATGCAGGTGAGGGGTGGGGGGGGAAGCAACGCTCCATCCTCGTACAGGAGCCGAGCCAGGGCACGGCCCGTCCTCGACGCCCACGGGGAAGGCAGCTTCAACGACGCCCGTGTGATCCGCCAACCCTCGCCTCGGGCAGTGCTTGGGTGACAGGCGTGCGTAGGCCCGCGACCGCCTGCTCGAGTAAATGCTGGCGCGCGTGCGGCAACGAGCAACCGGGCAGAACCGAGTGAATCGCCGGCGCAAAATAGCATGGGAAAAACGAATGACCGAGCCGAACAATCCGCCCGCGTTGCAGGGAGAGGACGGGCCGGACCTGAGGGGCGGCTACGTCAACTCGCTCCTCGTCTACGCCACCGTGGAGGCCAACGGTAAGCGGCCTGACGGCCCAACTCCCCCCCGCTTCGCTCACTTCCTGCACTCTAAGCGAATGCTCGTTTTTTTTTTTAGGGGGAGGAGGGGGTGGCGGTGGGGGGTGGAGCAAACACGTGCAGCAGGCAGCGTTGTATTGTTGGTGGTGGTAGCAACGGCTGTGGTGGTGGCACAAGCGCCGAGGTGACGTCACCGCCACTTAGTGGCGAATGGCGGTTGTTGTTGGTGGTGGTGGTGGTGATGCTGCTGTGGTAGCGTTGGCTTTTAGCCATGGTGACGATGTTCGTCTTTGTATTGGTGGTAGCGATGGCTGTAGGTGATGATGGTGGTGGTTGTAGTGGTGGTGGTGATGATGCTGTGGTAGTGTTGGGGTTAGCCATGGTGGTGGTGCGACTGTGTTGGCGATGGCGGTGTTGGTGGTGTGGGTGACAGTGGTGGTGACTGTGGCGGCGGCGGTGGTGGTGGTGACTCTGTTGTTGCTGGCTGTGGCGATGTTTCCACACGCTGCTCCCCGTGTCCCATGTCACGCAGCTGGCTTCCGGGACGTGTTCCTCATGACGTACCGCTCCTTCCTCTCGCCAAAGGAGCTGCTGCAGAAGCTGCTGCTCCGATATCCTTGCCTTCCGCTGGAGCTCTCACCGCTCGCTCCGTCGATCAATCGAGCCTGGCTCCAGCGAGCCGTTGGTCAATTGGCAGTCGCTGATGAATGAGTGAATGGCAAACTTGGCACGTTCGTCAATAACCTTTGCACCTAAAGAGGGCCATAGTCCAAAGTGTTTATACGTCATGGGGTTTGTTTTTGTGTTTGTTTGCCGAGTCATCGGTGGCTGGGGGGTCACAGAAATGATAGCTTAGCTGATTGGAGAATATATAGAGTTTATTGATAACATTGAGGTAATTTATATTTTAGTTTTTTATTGGTTTACTATATAGTATTCATTATATAGTGTAGTGTATACTCAGTTACTGTTAATAGCTCAGATGTGTAGGCTTTGACTTTAACATAGCCATTTCTGTGACCAGTCACAAGCTAATCCCTCAGTTATTTCAATGCTAAATTCTCCTGTTTGATTTGTACTAGGTGCCTCTGTGGATGTGGATGCTTTGACTTTAACATAGCCATTTCTGTGACCAGTCACAAGCTAATCACTCAGCTATTTCAATGCTAAATCCTATGCTGATTCCTTTGTCAAGAGGTGCCTCTGTGGATGTGTATGCTTTGACTTTAACATAGCTATTTCTGTGACCAGTCACAAGCTAATCACTCAGCTATTTCAATGCTAAATTCTATGTCAAGGCGCTCTGTTTCTTCTCACACACCTTAAAGGTCGCGGTCTGAGCTTGGCTGTGTTCGCTCCAGCGCTGTCCTCCAGACAGTCTCGTCCCTTCACCTGATGAAGGCTGCTTGTGTTGTGGCCGAAACGTCGTGAGAATTTTATTGTGTTATTTTATTTTATCAATTTATTATTTTATTCTCATTCTACTTGACTTTACCGAAAGAACCAAAGAAGATGAATCCTTGCAGTCATGAAAGCTTTCAATCGAAAAGTAATAAGCTGTTTTGAGCAATCACCCTTCTTTCACTAAATCTATACTAAACTTTTTATTTTATGAAGTAGGGCCCACTGAGCTTTCAGAAGTGACCCGACTGTCACAAATGTTAGCGCAACCAACTGGCTTCATCGTGGCGTGGACATGAATGTCAGTCAAATACTCCATAAACGAATGTTGTTGATTCTAAATGTGGAGAGAAAAACAGCGGGGGGGGGGGGGAGATCATGCAAACTACAAATATACAGGCGTCAGGGTCAGGATCGAACTCACAACCTTCCGTGTACCAGGAGAGTTAGTTAACATCTCGCCAGATGACAGCCATTGGCCGCAATGTCACCCATTTAATATTGTTTTCCCCTTTAAGGTCGCGGCGTTATTAACTAAAGCGAGTTTCACGTTATTTGTACTCATGCACCAACTGCCAATGTGGTATCCTCAAATAATTATGTGCACGTTACCAGTTAAGAATATGTTGGATAACGATGATGTATGGATTGAGGATGATGATGGCGACGATGAAGGCCTTGACTCGTCACCGCCCACGCTTGCCAAGTTTTGCCGCGCTTCGGGAGTGGAGGAGCTGATTGGACGAGACACGCTGCACATGACTCTGCGCGTCGTGCAGGAGCTACGGTGAGCGCCGACGGTCGATTCGGTTTGACACCTGAAGCATCGCAAACTTTCAACCCCCCCCACCCCCCCCCCCCCCATGTGCTCATTAGATCCTCCGCGGTTCCCCGATGCCCGCCGTAGTTCCGTTTTTAAAGCGACGCGGAATCCCAACAGCCGCTCGAGCGTAACCGTGACCCCCCTTCCACGTGACCCCCTGCGACCCGCTGCGACAGCCCGCGGGAGCTGTCGCGCGAGCTGCTGTCGCTGCTGCTGGAGGCGAGCTGCTCGCTGCTCTCCGGGGGGGACCTGGGGGGCGCGCGGCGCCTGCGTGATGCGGTGCTCGCCAAGGCCGAGGAGCGGCGCCTCGAGCAAGCGGTGCCGCCCGCGTCGCCGCTGTCGGCGCGCAGCGTCTCGTCCAGGCACGCACGCACGCAGACAGCGTCTCGTCCAAGCACGCACGCACGCAGACAGCGTCTCGTCCAGGCACGCACGCACGCAGACAGCGTCTCGTCCAGGCACGCACGCACGCAGACAGCGTCTCGTCCAAGCACGCACACACGCAGACAGCGTCTCGTCCAGGCACGCACGCACGCAGACAGCGTCTCGTCCAAGCACGCACACGCATGCGCACGCTCCCTCGCTCACTGTCCTGTGTTGTCAATGTGCGTGCGGCGTGCGGCGTGCGGCGGTGGCGGCGCTCGCGGTGATGGTGGCGATGCCCGGTGCAGGAAACGGACGCTGCTCGACTTCCCGAGCCAGGAGCTGGCGGAGCAGCTCACGCTGCTCGACTCGCAGCTCTTCCTCAAGATACAGGTGCAGGAGCGACAGTCGACACATGTCACCTAGCCTGGCACGAGGTGCCGCCATTCGCCACTAATCGACGTGACATCACTGCGGCGCTCGTTGCCGGAGGGCGGCTGCCTCCCAACGAACTTAGTAGCGTCCTTCTCGAGCCTCCACCTCCGCAGGGGCCGACCTTGACACTGCCGGTACCGGTCATCGGCAAGTTCACTCAGCTCCGCATCCTCCTGTACCGCATCAGCCCATCTCTTCTCTAGCCCCTGCCGTGCCCGTTTAGCCCCCTTTATCGGGCTAAATAAAAGCTGCTTGACCATCCGGTGACTGGGCATGCGGGGGGGGCTGCATGACCCAGCCACCAACAACGCCGTCTGCAATATGAGCTTGCGCACGCGTCTGTATCCATGTCTTTCGTGGATCTGCGAGCTCCAGTCTGGTTAAACCCCTGGAAAGAGGTAAGCCGGGCCCGATTGCTCCAAGTTCTCAACGCTCGTGTCCCATTTAGCCCCCTCTGTCCCAACGCTCGTGTCCCATTTAGCCCCCTCTGTCCCAACGCTCGTGTCCCATTTAGCCCCCTCTGTCCCAACGCTCGTGTACCATTTAGCCGCCCTCTATCCGGTCGATGACAAGAGTGATCATGTTGTTGCTGCTGCACATCCGTGGCTTCACAGATCCCGGAGCTGCTCATGTGGGCGCGTGACCAGGCGGAGGAGCAGAGCCCGAACCTGGCTCACTTCACGGAGCACTTCAATGCCGTGTCCTACTGGTGGGTGATACGGCTCGCTCGCTCGCACGCACGCACGCACGCCTCATGCACACGCGGGATGCCTGTGATGCAGACCCGCGTTAATGCGTACACGTCTACAAGTAGAATAATCTCCAACACAGATTTATCTTAATACCTCCGGCTCCAGAACACACAAGTGTAAATCAAGACGTGGCTTTTTGCACTGTATGTTGACCAATCAGATCGATATCATCAACTGTGTTGATGGTGCGATCGATGGTGGTAAAAAAAAATGTATACCTGTGGCACAACACGGGAAGTGGAGCCGTCAAGGATAGACTATAAGGAAAAACAGAAAAGAGTGCCAAAGTTGAGAGTGAAGATGCAGATTGGGAAAGTGGAAAAAGAGCAGAACAATGGGACTGAAGGTTAGGAGGGGGAGAAGGAATGACCAGGCCAAGATGTTGGGGATGATGACGAGAGGGTGGTGATGATGATGATGAGAGGGCGCTGATGATGATGGTGATGAGAGGGCACTGATAATGATGAGAGGTTGATGATGACGAGAGGGTGGTGGTGATGATGATGATGAGAGGGCAAATGATGATGATGAGAGGGCGCTGATGATGATGAGAGGTTGATGATGACGAGAGGGTGGTGGTGATGATGATAATGATGAGAGGGCAATGTTGATAATGATGAGAGGTTGATGATGATGATGATAGGGCGGTAATGATGATGAGAGGGCGGTGGTTATGATGTTCATGCGAGGGTCGGGAAGAGATGGAGAAGAGAAGAAAGGAGCGAGGCAGAAGGGGGCTGCATGGAGAAGGAGCGGCGTCTTGTTTTCACAGTGGGTGGTGGCGGAAAGAGGAGGGAGGGGATCAGAGTCAGGGTTAAACACACAAACGCCACGTGGTTTACTGGAGGCTCGGCTGATTTAGAGAGCGAGAGAGTGATCCATAGATGAGAGGGGGGGAGGGGTTCAGAGTGGGGTTGGTCACACAGAAGCCACGTGATTTACAGGAAGCTCGAGCTGATGTAGAGAGAGAGAGGGTATGAGGGGAAAATTTAAACTGATATTGTTTTGTTTTTGTCGCCAGGGTTCGTTCGATCATAATTCAGCACGAAAGGGCACAAGATCGGGAGAAAATGCTGATTAAATTCGTCAAGATTCTCAAGGTTTGTGCTGGGCTTGGGTTTTTTTTTACTTCTCCTTCCCATAGAAAAAAATGGTAAGGATGGGGGGGATGGTTGTCAATGCGATTGAAGGTCATTGACGATTATGATAATGGTGGCAATTGTTAATAATATATTTATGATATTGAGGCTGATGATAATAAATTGTTTTCATCATCATGAATAACAGATTGCAGCTATGATGAATGTCGTCACTGATATTTATATTTATGACGCTATTGGTAGTGGTTGAATTGGTGGTGGTTGGTTGTTAAATTGGTGATGGTGGCAAGAACAGCGGTGGTCATAATGATCATGATTGTGTGGTGGGCGATATTTGGTGCTCATGGGGGGTTGATATATTAACGATGACGATGTGGAGGATGACGATGTTGGAGGATGTGGACGATGGCTGATGTTGACGATGTTTCTGGGGCGCAGTGCCTCCGGAAGCTGAACAACTTCAACTCGTACCTCGCCATCCTGTCGGCCGCTGACTCGGTGCCAATCCGCAGACTGGACTGGCACAAGCAGACGAGAGAGGTAATGCGTTTTACGCGGTGGTCCCTTGTATAGCCAGGCAGACTGTTGGTAATGCGTTTTACACGGTGGTCCCTTGTATAGCCAGGCAGACTGTTGGTAATGCGTTTTACACGGTGGTCCCTTATATAGACAGGTAGACTGTTGGTAATGCGTTTTACACGGTGGTCCCTTGTATAGCCAGGCAGACTGTTGGTAATGCGTTTTACACGGTGGTCCCTTATATAGACAGGTAGACTGTTGGTAATGCGTTTTACACGGTGGTCCCTTGTATAGCCAGGCAGACTGTTGGTAATGCGTTTTACACGGTGGTCCCTTGTATAGCCAGGCAGACTGTTGGTAATGCGTTTTACACGGTGGTCCCTTATATAGACAGGTAGACTGTTGGTAATGCGTTTTACACGGTGGTCCCTTGTATAGCCAGGCAGACTGTTGGTAATGCGTTTTACACGGTGGTCCCTTATATAGACAGGTAGACTGTTGGTAATGCGTTTTACACGGTGGTCCCTTGTATAGCCAGGCAGACTGTTGGTAATGCGTTTTACACGGTGGTCCCTTATATAGACAGGTAGACTGTTGGTAATGCGTTTTACACGGTGGTCCCTTGTATAGCCAGGCAGACTGTTGGTAATGCGTTTTACACGGTGGTCCCTTGTATAGCCAGGCAGACTGTTGGTAATGCGTTTTACACGGTGGTCCCTTATATAGACAGGTAGACTGTTGGTAATGCGTTTTACACGGTGGTCCCTTGTATAGCCAGGCAGACTGTTGGGACACAAGGCTGTCGGTCAACGCCGACGAACACCTGTGTGAGGTGGTGCAATCGGTGTAACCAGGGGCGGAGCCAGGATTTCAGGCCGGGGTGACATTCAACAAATTTTAATTTCAAGAATGATTAGAGAGTCAGGCTGTTGAGCTAGACGCCATCGGTTGCCGACACACTCTGACAATGCAGTTGCACGGAGTCCGCCAGACCGAGTGACGTACACTTACACGCAGAATGTCACCCCTGTCACCACCCCCCCTGGCTCCGCCCCTGGGAGTAACTGGCACCGCACCCAACCACTCGTCTCCCCAGTGTTGATATTTATAACCGCCGCTTCAGGTGCTCATTTTAAAGCCGAGTGGACCTAGGGGAGGCCCAGGACCACCGATGCGAGCCGTGGCCTACTCGGTGAGGCTTCACTTGGTAGACGAGCGTCATAAAAAATAGTAATGAGACTTCTGGCTTGGAAGAAGATGATAAGGAAGGAAGATTTGAATTGTCAGTGGTGTGCCAACAACATGGAACGCTTTCGCCCATAGCACTGTGTGGCCTTAAAATAAAGATACAGTAGACTCTCGATTATCCTCGTGCGGTTTATCTGATTTGCGGATTCACCGCGCACCTGAAATTTTGACACTTTATAACTCGTGGATTTTCCCTTAAAACCAAATTAACAATCGAAAAACAGTTATACATTGTTATTCTTGGAAATGTTTATTGCAAGTCACGTGCTTAAACCGAACATATGTTGCTCTGGTTAATCCGAAATCCACGTGATCGTTCCTACAGTATAGTAGTTGTATATCTTTACAACAGTTGGCGGAGTTTGGTTGATGTTGATTGGCGTGGCTCTGCTGCTGTCCACTTAGTGGGCAGAGTTTTCCGGGGAGCAGGAAAGTGTTGTCATCGAGATCCGCGGTAAATTCATATTTTTGGGATTATCGGTGATTTTGAATTATCCGCGGCCGTCCTCCCCGTCGTTAGCGCGGATAATCGAGAGTCTACTGTATGTACGCAACGGCTGACTTTTCAGGCAATGGCCCTTCTATTTGCAATGCGGAAGGATGAACATACAAACATATTGTGTGTAAAGTGACGGGGGCCGTGGGGTTATCTCCGTGCAGCGGCTGGCGGAGCACACGAGCATCATGGACAGCTCGTCGTCGTTCCGCGCCTACCGAGCGGAGCTCGCTGACGCTCAGCCGCCCTGCATCCCCTACCTGTGAGTGGACGGGATTCCCGCCCCGCCTAGCCCCGTCCTACCTAGCCCCGTCCTACCTAGCCCCACCGCACCTACCCGCACTCCACCCCACCTAGCCCCACCCCACTCTTGATCCCCTACCTGTGAGTTGACGGGATTCCCGCCCCGCTTAGCCCTGTCCTACCTAGCCCCACCGCACCTAGCCCCACCCCACCTAGCCCCACCCCACCTAGCCCCACCGCACCTACCCGCACTCCACCCCACCTAACCCCACCCCACTCTTGATCCCCTACCTGTGAGTTGACGGGATTCCCCCCTACCTAGCCCCACCCTGCCCTGCCCCACCTAACCCCCACCCACTATGCTCCACCCTGCCCTTCCCCCCATCCTGCCCCGGTTGATACTGTGGATGTGTTAACCATAACAGAGGTGCCGTTTGCTTCACAGCGGACGACAAGTAGAGATCCCATTATGTTCTGTAAAAAAATGTTTAAAAATACTTTTAAAAAAAATACGCTTTAATGAAATGTACCGTACGAGTCATGGCAGAACTCCACGACTCCAGGAAGTGGCCCCGAAGCTTGCCATAATGTAAGGGGCCGTGGTGATTTATAGCCAACGTCAGTTGAGCGTGGACAATTAGACCCAAGCCGAAATATAAAATATAAAAAAGATTGTTTAATATATATTTTAATGATAGAATATAGTATTGTCATCAGTATGACATAAATATAACAAGTTTGCAATCGATAGCACATTGGGAAGTGGGTTAAAATTGAGTTACAAGATTTTTTGAGGATACAACAACAGACAGTGAGTTAAATAAAAGCGTGTAAAATAGTCGACCGTGTTTGTGCACACAAACACGAAACCTTCGTGATAGCATTGCGCTTGAAGAATGGCGTTAATACTAAATGAAACTAAATTATTCTACAAATCCGACAACCCGAGTTCGATTCCTGTCCGCAGCCAGTCATGAGTATCCAATATCTGAAGCAGTCGTGGGTCCTCCGAGAGGTCAGTTGGAGCATAAATGAGTACCTGGTGTGGTTGTGTATGAAACATCGGCACTCCCGATACAAAAGTGGCCGAGCATACTGCTGGGCATCCACATCTTTGAGTGCGGAAACAGGAAATTCGTAGGTGCTACTCGTTAACGGCACTTGCCCCAACGGTCCTCTGAAGGCTATTTGTTTGTTGTGCAGTGGCCTGGTTCTCCAGGACCTCACGTTTGCCCACCTGGGAAACCCCGACACCATCGACGGGAAAATCAACGTGGCCAAGTGCTGGCACCAGTTCTCCATTCTCAGCACTGTGCATCGATTCCAGCGCTGGTGAGTGAGCCCAGCACTGTTTCGCATATACACCGCTGGGTGGGCGGCTGAGTGGGTGGGCAGATGAGTGGGTCGGTGGCTGGGTGGGCATATCTGTGATTCACCAACTCTCAGATAAAACAAATTAATCCTATAACAGTTGCCCCTGATAAATGTTTTTTTTAAGTTTCCTTGTTTCACTGACTCGGTGTCTGATCACCGCTGGCTCCCCCCCCCCCCACTCCCACAACCCCCCCTTCCACCCACCGTCCCCTCCAACCGTGTCGTCTGCTGGCGCCCTGCAGCCGGTACCAGCTGAAGCGCAGCGAGACCGTCATCGCGTTCTTCAACTACTTTGGTGACCACCTGTCGGAGGAGGCCCTGTGGGAGCTGTCGGTCAAGATCAAGCCCCGCAAAGTCGCTCCGCGTCGCAGCAGCAGCGTGCGCGATCCGGCGCGCTCGTGAGCCCCAGGGCCACACCACCCTCCCACGCTTCAAGAGGCGTGCCGGCCGCCGCCGGTTGCTTACGAGCGGTGCGCCGAGTTCACGTTACACGCGTTGGGGGGGGGGGTGGGGGGGGGGAAACCGATGGGAGCACGGATGGACGCAGGAACGACGACGACGCCGCTGAAAAAAGACAAAAAAAACTTGACGCTCGAGTCGAAGCTCTAACGTCGTGAATCGTGATAACCTGGCAAATCACTCGGTGGCGGGGAGGTGTCAGGATTTGTGAAGACCAAACTACGCACCAATCGACAATTCTGGATCTATCCCTAACGTCCGAGTCTCGAAAATTAACTTGTCAGACTGCACGGGGGGGGGGGGGGGTGGGGGGAGGAGTGGGCGAAGCGTGCTTTTGTGTCGCGGGCCGAGCCCGTGTCCTTTCAGGACTCTGGCGATGCGTCCTGTCACCCAATGTGGTGTTTTCTGAGTGGGCAGTGCTCGCACGCGTCTGCTGCTGCTTCTCCTGCCCTCTCGTGACAAAATATGGAAAGGAAAAGGGAGCGATGGTCCATAATGATGGTGATGGTGGGGGGGCTGATGATGTTGTACCGATGCCATGCCCTGTCCATTTGGAAAAAAATAATGTGTTTACCACAAATCAAACTGACTTAAGTTTACATAATTAATACCTTTTTTGTGAAGCTCATGGCTGCAGTGCCAATGTAAGTTGGGAAGAAAAAAAAACACATTGCTGTGAAAGAACCTGCCACGTGAACATTCTCTCGAGGGCTCGCCGTGCGAGAAAGAGAGGCTTCTGGGACAAACAAACACCGACGCCAAGAGGAAGGGCCGCGAGGTGGACGTGCCAGCCGCTGCTGGAACTCGTTGCGATGAGCGAGTCCGAGGCCGGCATTCTCATCTTTGTCCTACGGAAGTGTGAGCATCGATTCACTTGCTGGACATCTGTGAAAAGGAGCCACGTAGCTCGTCGGATTCCTCCAGTATAGATAAAGATTCTGTAGCGACCAGAGGCACACACTCTTAACGGGAATGGAGATAATTTAACAGAGGAATATCCGGACTACTTGTAAAGGATCGCCGTAAATCACGACCAGAACTCAAGACACGTGTGTACTCAAGGGGATTGGTATAAGTGTGTCAAGAGAGCCGTGTGTACAAACCAGGCTTTGCTTTTTAAAGTAAACAAAATGTAAAAAAAAACTGTGTACAGTGTTGCCGAGACTGTATTGTAATGGCTTTTTACGGGCTGTATGTATGCGTGTGCATCTATTCCTCTGCAAAGCCTTATAAACGCCTGGGCCAAGTCCTGTTTACGAGCACCCGATGAAGGTCAGCACGGTGCACAAGGGGAGAGTGCTGCGATCAGCATCGCCCCACGCATGGTCGCCTTTATCTCCCCGGCGCTGACACTGCTCATGTTCGCACGCTGTGCGAGAGGCGCTCGTCGAAGGCTGAGCTGGTGGCCTCTCTCCACCGGGGATAAAACACAAAACGAACATCGGCGCTGGCAAGACAACGGCACATCGCACCACGCCGTTGCAAATCCACTTCCAGCCTCAAATAGGTGCTCGCCGACAGGACTTTCCCCGTAAAAAAAAAAACGTAACTTACGGCAATAGGCGCAAGAGGGTTGAGTCTTTTACGGTTTGCGTGTGCGTGTAAATGTATGTGTACATTATATATTTAACAAAAAAGTGTATATGTTATGTATTAACCTACAGTGGTGCTAAACCCGTGTCCGCTTCATGAACGGACGTCGCGCTGGCGTCCTCGAATCGGTCCAACGCGTGTGCCCTAGGTGTAAGGGAACGAGCAACAGAGAGAGGTCGACGGGGAGAATGAAACTAAGAAAAAAAATCCACCCAGGAACGGACTCGCAGCTGTCGGGGAATCAACGGTACCCCTGTACATAGAGTATTTTGCGTAAAAACACCGCTATGCACGAGGGTGTTACCAGTCGAGATAAACGGCCCATCATCACTCTGGGGTCGATAAAGTAGGTGCCACTTTGTGGAGAAGTCGCTTCGTTTAATATGGATAGATTTGCCCCACCGCATTCGTGCCCCCTGCCATAGGAATGAGGAATTTCCGCCACTGGCAGCAAGGCTCCAAACGGCAGGGGGTGGGGGGGGGGATAAGCACCACCGCCTTAATGACCGTTCGTGCAGGAAATTGCTTCGACTTAAGTTTATTTCACTGTTGTAACAAAGTCAAGCGAGAACGATGAAAAAGCGTCGATCGGTCGACGTGGAGACGCCGATGTCATCGCCGCCGCCGTTCGGCGCCCGTCTTCTACCGAAGATTTGTGCAACGCGAGAGAGCCGTGTGAATGCGGAGTCGCTGCTTTGCTTTTTTACTTTTCTTCCCCCCCCCCCCCCCACTTTTTACTACGTGGAAATTTAAATGACGAGGTCCCAACTTTGGAGTCTTTGGCGCACTCGGGCGCGCCGCAGGTGCCCGTGGGGTCGCACGTCGCAGCAGACTCCGGAGACTCGTCGTGGACGGCGGATGACTCGAGTACCACCGAACTGGAAGGAGAAAGAGTGTTGCATCGCGAAACCCAACCGTCTTGGACGTCGTGAGGCATCCTCGGCGGCGTGGAAGCTTGCGGGATACTCTGCCAATGAGTCGAACGAACAAACGAGGGAGAGGTTGTTTGTGGGTTTTGGCGAAGGTGGACTTTGAGTCCCGCTTTTCCGCCCGCGTGGTTTCCAAATGACCCCGACCCCCCCCCCCCGACTCCCCACCCCACCCCAAGTGACCTTCCGTGCTCGGGAGAGGTAAGGTTTTTTCGAGTTGGTGAGACGCAAGCGAGCGACGAACTCGTCTCGCTTGTCCCCTGCTCTTGGTGGTTGTGAATATTGACGGTGTGTGTGTGTACGTGTGATGCATGTCAACTGGGGGGAGGGGGGGTGGGGAATTGGACTTTTAAGTCGTGAGTCGCAGCACTCCTTCGGTTCGCCGACTTGTGCATCACCTGCCCCCCCCCCCCGCCATGTGTCTGTGTTGGCGAGAGAGGCAGTTGGTGCACAGGTTCGTTTTGGTAAACGCGGTGGTGGTTGTTTGCATCCTTGCCATCATTATTATTATGATGGCCGTATTGGATAATGCCGAGTTGTGTGCGTGTGTGACCGGTAACGGAAAGTCCTATTCGGCCTTGCGGCTCGGTGGGGGGAGAGCAACCGGGCTCCTCTTATCGGAAAGTTGAAAATTCAAATCCTGGTTGGGGACGGCAGGTGGGGGGGGGTGGGGGTAGTGTTTGAACCCCATCATCCCTTCGAGAGGCGGGGGGGGGTGGTCGATAAAGTGCATACCACATTGTGGAGAAGAGGGCAATGGTGGTTGTCCTCTGGAGAGCATTTGGCATTTGGGATGGCTGTGTGGGCCACTTCCGTGAAAGCCCAGTTGGGATTGGGCGATCATCATCACCTCGACTCGTTTTTACTTCACTCTCGGGAAGGGACGTTCTCCCGGCCCCTGGTCTGTAACGTACTCTGCTGCGATGTTGTATTTAAGTGGGCAGATTGGTATCGGTTTTTTTTTTACGAATAAATGTTTTATTGTTTATATATATGTGTGCTTGCGCTTGTGAGAATGCATCGCACGTGGGTTATTATCGTGTTTTACATCATGCGTGACGCGTTTCCAAAATCCCAAGACCTCGCTCGCACTCTTTCACCTCGTCAATGACCGAGGCTTAAAACATTTTTTAAGTCATCTTTTTTTTTGGGAAGTCATCACTTTATATCGGCCACGCGGTGATCCAAGAGAAAGCGACTCCCACTCGCAATCGCAAGAGAATTGCAAAGTTGAAATCCCGGCCGAACAAACTATCCCGTGCATCGTCAGGGTTGTACACCGCGTCTTGCTCTGCAGCATTGTCCGACGTTTCGCTGCACGTTCCCGTTTCCCGAAGAATCTACCCAACCATGTGATGCACCTCCGATTTAGCACAGTGACGCGATGCCCGGTCCACAAATACGAAGGTGACATCGCAGCGATACGCTCCGCTCCTCCTGACGCGATGATCTGGCTCGACCACGTGAATGTGAAATTGTCTTTCTGCATCTGCATCAGCCGTACGAAAGCAGAAGATTAGCACGGTTGGCTACGTACGGTGGGAAAGAAGTTCGCCATACATGACGCAGTTACCTGAAGAATCTCCCCAGCGCGTGGGACAACGTCTGAGATCCTATTTTATTTTTCTAGATCGCCTTAGCTCAAGGCGCTTTATTTACACTGTTTAAAAAGCGGTAGCAACACAAATATCGATTAATTTTATCTCGGATTTTATATAACAATTTTGTCAAATTGATTTACAAGAAGTATAAATTGTAAATTAGTATTGGCTGATGGGGAAAAGGGATGGTAAGGGAGGGTGATGATAGGGAGGGAGGCGAGGTTAGGGAAGGGATGGCAAGGGAGGGTGATGTTGGGAAGGTTTTCAGGACGCAGTCGTAGAGGAATTGATGGCAAGGGCATGCGAGGGTTGGAGAATGAGTGGCTTAACAGGGCAACATGGGAGTCAGGAAAGAGCCAGGGGAGGGACGGGAGCGTGGGAGTGCAAGATATTCCTATCGATAATGATTCTCTCTTATTGCATCCAATAACTACAATATGTAAAAATACACTCACGTGGTTTAAAAAAAAACACCACTTACATTCACATCGAAAGTCTAATTCATTATTAAGTGTTTTGGGCTGGATCGCGTGAATGTGATGTGTTGTAAACCCACCTCCTCCACCCGACGCCTACGCGTTAAATTTAAAAGTCAAATTGTCCCCTTGCTTAAATGTCTCCAGTGGTGAGCCGGAGCCTGTGGTGGAAATTCCACATTGCCATGGCAGGGTCCAACCACTGCATAGGCCAACCACTGTAGACCTTCCGGATAATCTTATGAGGAGCTTGAGGAGTGGCCAAATTATTTTCTGGACCAGCGAAACGAGATTTTTGTGTTTTCTGGCTGGAATGTATCCGGAACCGCCTCCCACACCTCCCGTGGGCGAAGCCGTTGCGCAACGCGTGGATTTGCATACAGGTGTGTGCACAGGTAAGGTGAGGTCACGTCCCCGGTTCGGCCCCTGCGTGCTTAGTGAGGTCTGTGTGTGATTGTGCAATTGTGTGGGGGTGCGGTGGTGTAGTGGTTAGCGGACTGCGTTACGAACCCGGCAAACCCGAGTTCGCTTGTAGCTCAAGACCAGCGCCAGTGATGATTATCTGAACCGGTTCTGGAGCTACCCTAGGTCGACTCGGCCTCAATTGAGTACTGTACCTATGGTTCGGTGTGTAAACATCGCCACGAAGGAGACAAGGCGATCGGGCACGGTGCTGGCCCACCCACTCGTGTGCCGTTCCTGCCTTCATAGGTGCTCGCTAACAGCACTTGTCCCAACAGTCTGCTCGGGCTATACGGGGGACCTTTGTCTTTGTGTGCGCGACGATGGCAGTGGTGGGAGCGGTAATTGCGGTGGTTCGCGCTACGCACCCGGCGGCCCTAGATCGAGTGCCCGCTCGTGGCCAATGACTTCTCTTTTCTATTTATTTTACCAAGTGCGTAGCTTGTAAACAATATTGTATCAGCACTTGGAGGAAGCAAAGGCGGCCGGGCGTGGTGTTGGCTACCCCGCCCCTCCCCAGCCTCCTGTGAAAACAGACTCCGCTCTTCCGTGCACCAGCAGCATCTGCTAGACCCGTTGTGCAGCTCCTCATTTCTCCTCTTTGCTCCCGTTGCTTTTCCATCATTTTCCTCATCTCCCATTCTGTATCCCCATTCTCTCTTCCCTTTCCCGTTCCGTTCCCTTGTTCCCCACTCCCCCCAAGACAACAAGAAAACGACGCAAATCTTTCTTTATTTTTTGTTTATTTTTTATGTCTGAAAGAAGCCAAGAATAAGTCTACATTATAGACTGCCAATACGCTCACCAAGCTTAAAACCAGGCTACAGTCTACATTATTGACTGCCAGTACGCTCATCGAGGTAAAGAACCAGGCTACAGTCTATATTATAGACTGCCAGTACGCTCACCGAGGTTAAGAACCAGGCTACAGTCTACATTATAGACTGCCAGTACGCTCACCGAGGTTAAGAACCAGGCTAGTCTAAATCTTGAAGCTTTCGTGACTGCAGGAATTTTAATTATTTGGGTCTTTCGGTAAAGTCACGTAGGTAGAAAAAAATATTTTAAAAAATCACATTTCGATCGCAACACAAGCAATCGTCATCAGGTGAAAAAATATAGCGGTGAGAGCTGTTGAGGCAGACACGTTATAAAGGTTAGAGATGGGTGTAGCCCAAAGGTCATAAGCAAAGTGGGCGGGGCTAGAGATGAAATTTGCATATGAATGTCAGATCGGAGAGCTGAGCTACCTCCACGATGACGAAGCTGCGGAGATGGCCATTGTATTGTGAGAGATTAGCATGTCAATGGAGGAAAAACGAAAACCACCACCACATCGGGGAAAATGAGCAACGGTGGCTGTGTTAGGGAGACATTTAGCCTCTTAATGTAAAGACATTTAACCTGGTCATGTAACTCAGAGAGTCGAAAATAACTGCTAACATCGGCAGGTAGGATGGAAGCATCGCAGCCAGTTATGACTTAAACTGGTTAATAACGTCCTTCCAATTATTGCTCAGTTTGTACCCATCTTCTCGGTTGAAATTGTGTCTGTGTTTATATATCTGGATGGCTTCATTAACGAATCTTTGCTGATAGCCAGTGGGTTTGCAGAGTACCTTCATCTTGGCAAAATCAATTTCGTGTGAGCCCAGCGCATTAAAACAATGATCAGCTACGGCTGATCATTGTTGGTCCTACCGTGTTTCAGATCTGCCTTATGTTCACGAACACGGTCCGAGACATGTCGCTTAGTTTCCCCAATGTAACTACAGCTGCAGACAGCTTAGTTTGTAGACACTGGTGTATTGCACGTCAGGGATCACATCCTTCACAGATGAGATCAGATCACGAATTGTATGTACTGTGTTGAATCGAACCTGGATCTTGTGTTTGCTCATGATTTTGGAAATATGTTTGGTAACCCCTGCTATGTATGGCAAGGTGATGGTTTTGATTGGGTCCTCGGATGGCTCTTTTCCAACGATTGGGGTGACAGCTTTACGGCTTGTGTTGTCTGAATATCCATTCATCTTGAGGGCTTGGTGTACGTGCTCCAGTTCACTGGCTAGGTGGTGATGGTCAGAAATACATCGAGCTCCATGGTGTAGAGTTTTGATGAGGGAATTCTTTTGAGATGGATGGTGGTGGGAGTCAGGTTTTTGGTAGGCATCCGTATGGGTGGCATTCCTGTAGACAGTGTCCCATTGAGCCATCTGGTCTCTTTTCAATTGAAACATCCAAGAATGGTAACTTGCCATCCTTTTCCACCTCCATGGTGAATTTGTGTCTACATTATAGACTGCCAGTACATTCACCCTGCTTAATAACAATTGCTACAGTCTACATTATAGACTGCCAGTACACTCGCCAAACTTAATAACTAGGCTACAGTCTACATTATAGACTGCCAGTACACTCACTCTGATTAAGAACCAGGCTACAGTCTACATTAATGGTTTTTTATCATTTGCATTCACTTTATTTTTTATTATTATTTTTCTATCTACGTGACTTCACAGAGAACCAAAGAATATGAATTCCTGCAGTCACGAAAGTTTTCAGTCAAAATGTTATTGTCTACTTTTGAGTGCAAATAAAGTGTGCATTGGAAAAGCTTGTTTTTTTTTTTTACCAAACTTTTGTTTACAACGTGCACGCTCGCGTAGGAGATATGGAAAACGTGTGCCCGCGTGATTTCACGCCAGCGTGTGGCTTCGCAGTTACTTCACCCCGTCATGCCAAACGGCATCTCACCACATCATCACCTCTCCATCATCAACTCAGAGCTAACCTCAGTTCCACCCCTTTGAGCCCAACCTCGACTACCCCCCCCCACAAGACAAAGATGCCCCCTGTAGCCTTAAACGACACACGAGGAGGTGGGTGAACAGCACAACGGCCGGCCGCCTTTGTCTCCCCGGTAGCGATGCTTGCACACCGCACCAGGTACTCATTTGAGGCTGAGTCGGCCTAGAGGAGGCCCAGGATCTAGTTCAAATACTCGTCACTGGTGTTGGCGGCCGTGAGTGGAAATCGAACTCGGATGGCCGGATCAGTAGCGCAGCGCTGCTAGCCACTGCACCACCGCTCCCTCCATGCAACTCCTCCCCATAGCGCTTGAAAAACAAACACCTCTAAGATATGTTCACGGGTTGTGCCGCTTAATGTTCGCGCGTGAAGTCTGACGTTTCGCTCCACATGCTGGCGGCCTATCAATCCATAACAGCTCTGGGCTTAAATTTCGATTTAAAGCTTTCGTGACTGCAAGGATTCATCTTCTTTGGTTCTTTCGGTAAAGTCACGTAGAATGAGAATTTAAAAAAATTGGCTGGCAACTCATTCTCTGGGCTTGTACACTTTGGCAGAGGGCTGGCCTTCTGCCAGCAAGCCTCAGGAGACCCTTCAACGTGGCATCAAAGTGCACCTCGCCTGACACTGCATCTCCTGTCATCTATCTGCATCTCTATATCTTGTCCACATCTTCATTCTCATCTCACCACGCACAACTAAATATAATGTCAACACTTCATCACATCTCCATATCTTGTCCACAGGGTGTTCCAGATGGCTTGTGACCCCGATTGTATTCTCTAAAACGTAATATTTTTGTATACCAACGGACGTGAAAAACAGAAATTAATAAACAAAAGAAAAAAATGTTTGGTCAATTAATTGGAGGTCGCAATACATGTGAACCACCCTGTACATCTCCATTCTCATCTCTATCGCACCCACATCCGTTCTCTAAACCCACTACCCATACTATAATATCACCTCGCCTCACCTCTATGTTGTATATATAAGCCTTTTTCCATGTTTTATTAAGAACGAGTTGCCAATTTTTTTCTCGTGGTGTCGCTGGAGGGGGTGAGGTGAACAACGCCTCCCCTCACAGCAGCCGCCATTCTCACACACAATAGGCCGCTGGAGATAGGCCATACAAAGTAATACACCCAAAATAAAGAGGAAAAGGGGGGGGAAATTACTCATGAGACTCGAGGGGAACTCTACAGGACTTCAAATACCCCCTTTTTGAGAGCACAGACAACCAAGCGCCACTCACAGGCGAATTCCAAAATAATATTCCCTTTCGTTACTATTAATGCAACGGTTAAAGTTCAGAACTTAGCAACAAATCAGTCGACATCATAGACTGTCCACACACTCACTACGATAAAAAAACTATACCAGACTATAATCTCCCTAGTGGGTTATCACTTCTCATACATGTCATATTAATACTAATGTTATTCACCTTAAATTGTATTACATTTTGCCGTTTATGTGACCTTACAAAGACCAAGGAATATGAATTCCAACCGTCAAGAAACTTACCTCTAAAACTCAGGACATCAAAGAAATAAAATAAAATGACTCGAGTATAACAGCACGGATCCCTGGATACAGACGGGGGGACGAAATTAATAAACCCTAAGAAATGCGTGGTGATGACAATGTTAAATCACAAATCTTAGGAAACCTAAACCAAATAATAGTTATGCAGTATTAAACCGAGGGCTATCGAGAAGGGATGAGGCGAAATAGGTCAAACTTACACAACCAAGATAAACTGTGTTCCATAGGAAAAGAGCCGCCCAACCGTCTTTGTCTTCCCGCAGCACGGGATAGCAAGGAATTTAACACCCACAGCGAGGGAAATGACTCAATGCCAGAGAGCTTTTATTGCGGGGGGGGGCATCTGTGTCCCACGGATGAACAGACGGCTTCATAAATGACACACACACGGACACGCGTACAGCCCCCCACACAACACAGAGCGAGATCAAAGTAAGTTCCGGTCTTTTGTGAGAGGGCGAACAGAGTAAGGAATTTTTGGCATAAAAAGAGACAACAACCAGCATTGAACCAGCTACAAGCGGCAGAAGACGGCGACCATCAGCTCCCGAAGATGACGAGCCACCCACCGACGCAAGAAGAAGACTCCGCAACTCATCCAGGATGGCGAGGCTCGCCGAGTAGCGACATGCAACGCCGCGCGAATTCAGCGCCATCGGGAGCAGTCTCGCTCGAAAATCATTCCGCTCTGGGCATCGACTCACAAGAGCCACTGCAGTTCGAGCTAAGCTGACGAGAATTGCCAGCATCATCCGTCAGAGGGCGGCGGAAAGCGCCAAACGTCGACCAAGCCTGCCATCGGCGAACGAAAGCATCGTTCGTCGCCGGAGAGCCGGAGAAGGAGAGAGCGCGTCGCAGCGCCACCAGCGCCACCAAGCAAAGGTGTCAGCTGCCAGCGGACGAGCTGCGGGCGCTACCTGACGACGGGATCATCACGAACAGACGGCGAGCGTCGTGCCGACTCTCTTCCAGCCAGCTGTGGACACAAACTGTGGGCCGGTCCCCCCGAGCAAGAGAGAGAGAACGAAGCCGTTTGTACGACCCCCCCCCCCCCACACTCACACCCTCACGACGCATCGCCCGGCGTCAGCTTTACGCAAAGAATTGAACAAGTGGCTAAAGAGAGAAACACAACACGCATACCCGGGGCAAATAAGATTGTTCCAAAAAGTTATCTTTGCGTTTCAAGAAGGGTTGCCATCACAAGGTGGTGCGTTAAATATCAGCTGATCGTGAAGAACATTGCTGCCCATTGGGTTACGGGGACACGGTCGTTTAGAAGTATTTTAGTAGTTACGTTCTTTCTGATTTGCATAAATATCAACGAATTCATCGATGAAAACTAAATGTTTAAAAAACCTAAGTTACGAATCCACACACTCACAGGGAGACTGTTGTGTTGAAATCTTTCTTTTGATCACAGAATCTACCCGTGAATTTATTGAAACCTCAGCCTATTAATGAGTATTTGCTGAAGCAGGCATACTGCCGCACACCATGGTTTTAACATTTCGTTAAATTACGTAACCTTGCCCGTGGATTCATTGCCGTGTAAGTTTTGCCTTCGGGACATGTTTCTTTATTGCCTCCGTGTGAATGGCGTTGCATTAATTTTTAAGGACTTTTTATTCCTATTTGCCGTATGTGCTTGTGTTACTCGGATGAAGTAATCGTTTGTCCTGTTACCCAATTAACAAACGTGACCATTGAGGGTTAAATGTATGGATCAATGAGGGGAACATCTCCTGGAGTATTGTGTTGACAATTCCAAGCATAAGAATTCGCATATTAGAGTGTTAAGTGTTTTGTTTAGAAATTAACATTGCGTAACACGGAAGTGTCTGAGTGTTTCTTTCCTAAGTTCATGCGTAATGATCTTAATTATAAGGACTGTATCCTGCGGTGAGATTTGAATTTGGAGAACTGACAAACACACTAAGACAATCAGTAAATGTTAAATCGAGAATAATTGTATTATACCGATTGATAATACAACCCTAGACAACGAAGCAAAGTTTAATCTAGCTTACTTACAGCACACCTGCATAAGCTCATACAATTAATGCTATGATCCCGATTGATAATACTACCTTCGTCATCGAGGTGGGGCCTAATTATCATAACTGCGCACATTAGCATAATCGCACACATTCGCATACATTAATACGATTATCTCTCTAATCAGCATGAGTTATACACATACTTACATCAATTACCATAATTTCGAATAATTACGCATTTTTCCAAATTTCATTTGATTTTCATTATTTTCATTAAAATTTCAATACCCGGCATATACAATACTATGCATTGCCTACATCTCGCTCTCTCTCTGATCGGTACATCACCAGCTCTCGTTATCATCACCCACCCCCAGCACCACCAACTACCACCACTACACCACCAGCATCAATTCCCTAGCCTACTCCATGTAAGAAGCAGCGCATTTTCTGTATCTCCGCATGCACACACGACTCGGTTTATGTCATCATCCTATCTATTGGCTTCTACGCAGTGCCGGATTCTCCTAGTAGCAAAAGTAGCTACATAATGCTACGGGCCCCGCACTTTCAAGGGCCCCGCGCTAAATGCTTTCAAGATACAAATTCCGGTTCAGTGATTCTGCACTCGCTCTATTACTATAGTACTATACTGCCTTCAACTTTAATGAACGACTGGGTGTTTAAGGTTAGCGATTTGTCGTATTATCTGGCTGTATAGCAAAAATGAAAAAAATACAATTACTTCACTATGCAAGTTACAAATGTATGTGTTTTAATATTTACGTGTTTTTTTGTAGGGCCCCTTTATAGTATACACTACAGGCCCCGCACGAGCTTAATCCGGCACTGCCTCCACGCCACAGCAGCAGCAGAATTTGATCAAGCAAAGCAAACAAGGCACCGGTTTCCACCATCTGGGTCTCATCAGCGAGAGGCGGGCTTTGTTTTTAAAAAAATAAAAATTGCCTCCGCAATTACGAGTTACTGCCACGACACCTCTGTATAATCTCCGGGGCGGGGGGGGGGGGCGTTGGACGCCAACGAGTTTATGTAACTCGCCCACTCAGCTCTGCAGGCATTTGATGTCGGTGGGAGGAGCAGACCCTCCCGTAGTCAGGCGTTGAGTTTCTCAATAAAAGTCCCTTCCCATTGCTCCGGGCAGGAGATTCGACCGAGCTTATAAAACGACCTTGCAAGGGGATCTCGTCGAGAGAGACACGGAGCGAACGACGAAGCAGAGCCGACGTTACCCACTTGTCCCCGATCTACCAACCACTTGGAGGTAAGAAGGACATTCCACTCGACGTGTCACTCTTAGTATCGAGCGAATGCTTCTTGGTTAAAGGTCAAGTTGTTGTTGTTGAACCACATCACCTCGGCACCCCAGTGTCCTGCTAACAAAATCTCCATCTCTCGGTCACCATCACGGTCGCCGGTTTGGCTTTGTACAACAGCGTGACGTCTCTTGACGTTCGCTTGATGTACTCGCACAACTTTTGGCAAAGGCGCAGCCCCAGCAACTGCCCGCTTTTGATGATCACGAGTATGATGAAACGTGGAGCGGATATGATGACGATGCAGGTGATGTAATCGCTGGGAGAGTTACAGCCGCAACCCGTGGCTTGCCAGCCAACATTGGCTCAATTAAAAAAACCGCGAACAACAATGCCCATTATATTTCTGTACTGTTTTTATTTGACACGGGCAACTTTTTCTATTTCTCCTGTGTCACTTTTCATTGAGCAGAATTCCTCGCGTTCGACACCCCCTAAATCCGTCGTGGTTTTCCTGCTTGCTCTGCTCGCATGCTTCGCTCGTTTTGCTGTCCCTCTCTCTCTCCTAGCCTCTCCACTGCTAGCCTGTTATCTCTCTCTCTCTCCTAGCCTCTCCACTGCTAGCCTGTTCTCTCACTCTCCTAGCCTCTCCACTGCTAGCCTGTTATCTCGCTCTCCTAGCCTCTCCACTGCTAGCCTGTTCTCTCACTCTCCTAGCCTCTCCACTGCTAGCCTGTCCTCTCTGTCACTCTCCTAGCCTCTCCACTGCTAGCCTGTTCTCTCTCCTAGCCTCTCCACTGCTAGCCTGTTCTCTCTCTCACTCTCCTAGCCTCTCCACTGCTAGCCTGTTCTCTCACTCTCCTAGCCTCTCCACTGCTAGCCTGTCCTCTCTGTCACTCTCCTAGCCTCTCCACTGCTAGCCTGTTATCTCTCTCTCTCCTAGCCTCTCCACTGCTAGCCTGTTCTCTCTGTCACTCTCCTAGCCTCTCCACTGCTAGCCTGTTCTCTCTCCTAGCCTCTCCACTGCTAGCCTGTTCTCTCTCTCTTCTAGCCTCTCTACTGTTAGCCTGTTCTCTCTCTCTCTTCTAGCCTCTCCACTGCTAGCCTGTTCTCACTCTCCTAGCCTCTCCACTGCTAACCTGTTCTCTCTCACTCTCCTAGCCTCTCCACTGCTAGCCTGTTCTCTCTCTCACTCTCCTAGCGTCTCCACTGCTAGCCTGTTCTCTCTCTCACTCTCCTAGCCTCTCCACTGCTAGCCTGTTCTCTCACTCTCATAGCCTCTCCACTGCTAGCCTGTCCTCTCTCCCGCTCTCCTAGCCTCTTCACTGCTAGCCTGTTCTCTCTCTCGCTCTCCTAGCCTCTCCACTGCAAGCCTGTTCTATCTCTCACTCTCCTAGTCTCTCCACTGCTAGCCTGTTCTCTCACTCTCCTAGCCTTTCCACTGCTAGCCTGTTATCTCTCGCTCTCCTAGCCTCTCCACTGCTAGCCTGGTTATCTCTCTCGCTCTCTTAGCCTCTCCACTGCTAGCCTGGTTCCCTCTCTCGCTCTCCTAGCCTCTCCACTGCTAGCCTGTTCTCTCTCTCACTCTTCTAGTCTCTCTACTGCTAGCCTGTTCTCTCTCTCACTCTCCTAGCCTCTCCACTGCTAGCCTGTTCTCTCTCTTTATCTCACTCTCCTAGCCTCTCCACTGCTAGCCTGTTCTCTCTCTCACTCTCCTAGCCTCTCCACTGCTAGCCTGTCCTCTCTCTCACTCTCCTAGCCTCTCCACTTCTAGCCTGTTCTCTCTCTCACTCTCCTAGCCTCTCCACTGCTAGCCTGTTCTCTCTCTTTATCTCACTCTCCTAGCCTCTCCACTGCTAGCCTGTTTCTCTCTCTCGCTCTCCTAGTCTCTCCACTGCTAGCCTGTTCTCTCTCTCACTCTCCTAGCCTCTCCACTGCTAGCCTGTTCTCTCTCTCGCTCTCCTAGCCTCTCCACTGCTAGCCTGTTCTCTCTCTCACTCTCCTAGTCTCTCTACTGCTAGCCTGGTTCTCTCTCTCGCTCTCCTAGTCTCTCCGCTGCTAGCCTGTTCTCTCTCTCGCTCTCCTAGCCTCTCCACTGCTAGCCTGTTCTCTCTCTCGCTCTCCCAGCCTCTCCACTGCTAGCCTGGTTCTCTCTCTATTTTTTTTGCCAGACATCAAGTTTGTATTAACCACACACATACATGTAGCGAAACAAGCCAAACACGTTATTAATCATGCCCATGTTGTCTTTGAAATTGATTGGCCTACACATCAACCACCAGTGTTAGAGACCAGAGAACAACAGCAGAAGGCGGGCAGTAATGCAAGTGTAGTGGAGTACGAAGGTGCGTGGTACAAACAGCGTGATTACATGATAACACAGACAGTACGGGTTATCTTGGGTCAGCCTGTAGCGAAGGCGAATACAGTGCAGGTTATGTTGGTTTCAATTAAGCTGGAGGAGCCGTGGACGGCTGTGATTGGCTGGTGTTGTTGCCTGGGCTAGAGCGGCGCCTAAAGGTCTGGAGGAGGAACAGGTGTACGGGCACGCGGAGCGCCCTTGGGACGCTGACTAATTAATTGGGGGAGTAATGAGAGCGGGGATAAGAGCTGGGGTTGGAGTCAGCAGCGGGGAGTTGGAGTCTGGAGAGCTTGGAGAGGGTGGTTGTTGAAGTTGGAGAGCTCGGAGTGAACAGCGGGGAAATTGAAGAGTGGAGAGCTTGGAGACAGAGCGATAGCGGAGCTGAAGAAGAGAATAGCCAGCAGTGGAGAGAGCGTAGCGATAGCGGAGCTGAAGACGAGAATAGCCCGCAGTGGAGAGAGCGTAGTGACGGTGATAGCGGTGAACAGAGACGAAGCAGTTAGCAGTGGAGAGAGCATAGCGACGGTGGATAGCGGAGAGCGGAGATGAAGAAGTTAGCGGCGGAGTAAGCGAAGTAATCGTGTGGAGTGGAGAGACAAAGGTGGCGAGCGAGTCGAGTGAAGCACGGCGAGCGAGCCGTGGCGACTAGGATACTGTGGAATGGGGAGGACTCTGGCTTAGCAATCATTGGAAGGATTTGATAAACCATTTCGGGTCTTAATTGATTGTTCACACTTACGGTGGCTTTCAGACAGCATACACTAATTTTTCGTCTCCTCCCTCCTTTTTTCCGAACATAGATGGACTCGTCCTTCTGAACAAACTGCCAAATCGCTATCCGTGGTGCTAACGTTTATAAATAAATAAATACAAACCGCCACTTCTTTCAAATGTTTCTTGCAGTTGTTTTTCACACCTGATGATGACTGTTTGTGTTACAGTCGAAACGTCGTGAGAATTTAATTGTTTAATATATATTTTATTATTTTATTGTTTCCCTTCAACGTGACTTACCGAAAGAACCAAGAATATGAATAAGATAAAGGTCCCCCGTGTAGCCTGTAACAGACTTGGGGCAAGTGCTGTTAGCGAGTAGCAGCACCACCTAATGAATGATGGCCGGCACGGGGGGGGGGGGGGGGGATGTGGGTGGCCAGCAAACCACGCCCGACCGCCTTTGCCTCCCCGAGTGGCGATGTTTACTACACACCACGCGGAGGTTCTAATTTTGAGGCTGAGTCGACCTAGGGGAGGTGGCCCCAGGACCGGTTCGGACAATCGTCACCGGGGGTTTGGTGGCCCCTGAGCGGGAGGGAATCGAACTCGGATCGCCGGGATCGTAGCGCAGCAGCACGATTAGCACTGTCAAGCGGGATCTGGATCTGTGCTTCCCCTAAGTCGACTCAGCCGTAATCACAACACCGGGAGACGAATGTCATTGGTGCGCCGTGGGGGGGGGGGGGGGGGTAGAGGCCACGCGCCACCCACGTGCGCCATGTCGACCTTAATAGGTGCTCGCTAACAGCACTTGCTCCTGCACTCTGTTGTAACAACAATATTTATCATCGGGGGATCTGTGGACTTTGCATGGTGCAGCAAAAGCGTGCATTGTATAAATCAAATTGCCGTCAAGTTGAACGCGCGTGCGTGCAACCACTCGCGCCGGTACAGTGCGCATCTACCGCTCTGTATCCTCTATCCCTCCTCTCTCCTACCTCCTTCTCCTTCCTCTCTTTTTTTTTGTTAATATATTTAATGGTATTGTCATCAAAACGTTTACTCTCCTGATGGCCATTTGTGTATAGATATACACTTCGCTTGCACATATTTACCACTTGATTGAACTGTGAACTTATTAAGACAATGGTCCCAAGTAATTTGTTGGTGAATGTTCTGGAGGGAACCCGTGAGGTGGTCGCCCGTTCCAAGTCGTGAAACCTTCCCCGCGTTTTTCACGCCGACGCCCCCTCCCTGCGCCTGAGCTGGGACGAGGGTGGTGGCGGTGAGGGGCCAGTGGGTGGTCTTGGTGGTGCCGGCCCTGCACCCTCCCTCCCTCCCTCGCTCTCTTTTTTTTACGATCAGAGGAAACAAAAAGATGCTCGGTGTAGTCGGCACTTTGCTCCGTTCATCATTTTGTTTTTCTTTCATGCTTTGCTTTATGTAACCCCCCCCCCCCCCCCTTTTTAAATGAAAGACCCAACAAAATATTTGTTTTCTTTTTTTCTGCTCTCCTTACCCCTTCCCTCTCTCTCTACCCCCCTCTCTGCCCCTCCTCTCTCTCTACACCCTCTCTGTACCCCCCCTCTCTCTCTGCGCCCTCTCTTCCTACTCCATTTCGCTCTCTCTCTCTCGCTCACTCTCTCGCTCTCTATTTTTTTATAACTACGACAAGTGCTGTATCTGCACGCAGCCCTTCCCACAGTCAAACGGCCTCCGGCGGGTAGCTTAGATCTGCATGCAGAGCTCTCCGTCATCTGCCACCGAGCACACGGCCTCCTCCAGCGCCCACTGCTCCTTGAAGGCCGGCACGGCGTGGGTCAGCCGCGCATGGCGGAACTCCGGCCACACCCTGGATCCGACCAGAGCGCGGAAGATGCCCAGGCTGCTGGCCGGATGTTGCCCCTCCAGGGCCACCTTCCTCGCCCT